CGACATCATTATGTTATTTTTGAAAAAAAAAATATATTATGAGTTTATTTGTTCTATATTTTATTTTATTCTTGCAATCATATGTTTAATTATTTAATTAATTTATCTTATCGGCCAAAAACATTCATTACCACGTGCATTGTACGTGCACTTTACTAGTCTGATAAAACTGACCATAATTCCAGTCCACGGACAACAGTATTTATCAAGCCTCAAGTATTAAAAAAGTTCAGATTTACCTGATTGTTTATCTCATAAATGATACTTAATAATTCATTTCTTCAAAGAAAAATATATATGATGCTCACTGTATGGTAAGGACTGAAACTTCTACTTGGCTGTATGAAAAACACTAGCACGAAAGATGCTAGGAATAAAACTTTATTAACTTTGAACCTTATTTGTCTTCTTGTTGCCTCTTGATCATTGCTCTAATCTGATGGTGCAAGATAATATTTTCTGGCAGGCAATGGTTGCCAGAGGTGATCTTGGTGCGGAGTTGCCAATTGAGGAGGTTCCTCTATTGCAGGTTATTTCTGATGCTAGATCTGCATATAGTTTTTATCATGGTCAAGCTCTTATGGTTATGTGAAAAAACTAAAATTTTATCAAAAAATGTAGGAAGAAATCATCAGGATATGCCGGAGTATGGGAAAAGCAGTGATAGTTGCCACAAATATGCTTGAAAGTATGATAGTACATCCGACTCCTACTCGAGCAGAGGTATCGGATATCGCTATTGCTGTGAGAGAGGGTGCTGATGCAGTTATGCTTTCTGGAGAAACTGCCCACGGAAAGTGAGTCTATAATCTGCAAATTTGATTTTATTTTTGCAAGATATATCCTTGGGATTGGGTCTCAGTACCCACCCACTCAAAAAAAGAGTGACTATCTTCAAACCTACAAATAATGCCTCTTGGAATTTGTTTCTATATTATAAAAGATTCATTGCAAAATCTACCTATGAGGTTTAGTCTAGTTGCACAAAAAGCGCTTATCTTTTCATCTTTTGAAATTACAATGACCGTACTCACAAACCTCTTGGGGTTATATGTAATTTTTTTATCAAAAGAAGTTGGACTTTCTGGAACCAACCCTTCCACTTTGCATCCTCAATAAGAAAATGGAAGCCCGGAGAACGGGGATTCCTGTGATATCTTAATGGGGCATGATACGTTTAGAGTTTTTTCAATTAATTTTGTTTAGTCTGATGGTCATTTTTGTAATTATTACTCTTTGATAGTAGCCTATGTTCTTTTCACATATTTTTTTTTTTTTTCTGCATATTTGAATCCATTTCGCTTCGTATCAGGTTTCCTCTGAAAGCTGTCAAGGTCATGCACACAGTCTCTTTGCGGACTGAAGACACTATTGTTGGTGCAAAAACTCCTTCGGATCTTGGACATGCATTCAAGGTGGGGGTCGTGTCTCTGGAGGATATAGAAATCCCTTTATTTATCTATACACATTCTAGTGATTCACTCTTAAATGTAAACACTGATTGTTTTGCTTTATTGCAGAACCACATGAGTGAGATGTTTGCATACCATGCAACTATGATGTCCAACACGCTCGGAACATCAATTGTTGTCTTCACAAGGACTGGCTTCATGGCCATTCTGTTAAGCCATTTCCGGCCATCTGGAACCATCTTTGCTTTCACAAATGAGTAAGTCATATAAAATACCCTGTATTAATTGAATAGTTAATCATATAGAGTATCGGCAAGGTTTCACTCTAATTAAAAAAGAAAAAAGAAATGAAAACAAAATGTTCGAAGTATCTTTCAAATTACAAGAATCTCATCGTGATATGTGTTTCTTTTATAACGCATGACTTGTTTAATGAGGCATCTCTTGTGAAAATAGCGACCTGAAGGAGGTATTTGCAACTCTTAAAGGGATAAATCGAAAGATAAGTGGATTTTTTAATTTTGAGTTGGTTCAGGCAGTGAAGCCTTCATCTCACCACCTGGTCGATTCCCTACATTTAAGTAAAAAACCGGATATTCTTCATCAGAAACAGCAGCGCGAATATCTTAAAGAACTGAGTATAATGATTTAAAGGGTCTTTGATAAGTCTGGACACGAAGCTCCATGATTTTCACCTTAATGTAAATTGTGTAAACAGGAAGAGAGTACAGCAGAGATTGGCACTGTACCAGGGGGTTTGCCCCATTCACATGGAGTTCTCAGCTGATGCTGAGGATACATTTGCCAGCGCATTGGGTTTGTTGCAGGCATGTTCTTCCATCTGTGCTCTTTAATTTCATATATTAGTTTGGACTCGCTAAACTATTAGCAAGAGTAGAAACAAAAAGAGATTCATAGTAGATTTACTGCAGTTGACTTAAACGGCATTAAGATTATTCAACATCCTTTTTATGATGATGCTTGTTTAATAAACACTACCATCTTTGTTTTATGGACACAAATAAACTCCTGCCTAACTACAGAAACAAGGAATGGTGAAAGAAGGCGAGCAGGTTGCTCTTGTTCAGAGCGGCCGGCAACCCATCTGGCGATCTCAATCAACTCATAATATTCAGGTCAGGAAAGTATAATACGTAAAAAGGAGGAAATCTGTCTCGTGGCGAGCAATCGAGATTGGGCATGTGTTTCATCACCTTATGATAATTAATTTTTAAATTTTTGGATGCAGTAGCTTTGATCAATTGGTGTAGTAATTCATGTACTTGTTCTACCAGAAGGTGTTTTTTTTTTTTTTTTTTTTTTTTTTTTTTTTTTTTTTTTTTTTTTTTTTTTTTTTTTTTTTTTTTTTTTTTTTTTTTTTTTTTTGTCTTCCCATGTTCAACAATTTTCATGTGATTTTGCCCTTATGTGAGGACCACTTTGTAGTGCGCATAATGCTTGAACTTTAAGTTTTTTTACTAGACTCTTAATAAACAACATATAAATAGAGCATATATTGTTGTTTAATTCATAAAAAACTAGTGTGGTACTCGTGGGATGCACGGACTAGTTTTATTAAGATAAGCATTTAGATTTAAATGATTGGAAGAACGTAAAACGCATACATATTTTATAATTCAAGTTAAATCATACAGAAATGTTGATGAAAATCGATATAAATTGAATTCCTTGAATGAAAAATGGAAGAATTAGATCATAAAATGGGTGCTCTCTTATTTGTGTAGTTGGGAGAGGAAAAAAATGAAAAAAAAAAAAAAATCCCCCTTCTCTCTTCTCACGAGTCATGACCACATATATATAGGCTCTTACAAGTGGGCCAATTGAAAATAAATAGATGTATTACACTATCATTTAATACTAGGTGATACTTGTGGGGGCCCACTTATAACTTTTTACGGCTTCGATTGACGTCCATCTTGTCGGCAATTATTGCATTTACCAGAGACGACTTCTTTACGATAAATGTGCCATCCAATTACTTTGAATTCTGTTCAGCTCGACAAATTGACGGACTCGACATCTAGAGACCATCGACTTTTGGTTGATCAGTATTGAGAACCTGTTTTTATATTTATTTATCATGTATTTTTGGCTTCTTGGTTATTGGTACGTTCTTTATCATTTAATTAATTGGAGTCGAATTGATATCAACAATACAGTAACAGTATGAAACATAAACACAAAAAAAATAAAAAATAAATAAAAAAATAAAAGAATCCATGTCATGAGTACATGACATCAATTTCAAATTAATGTCCAAAACAAAATTAGTTAATACTCATAGTGTGAGCCATTTAAATTATTCCGATCCTCTTCCGACAAAGAGCCATGAGACTCATCATCACTCTCACTCACTCTACGAATGCTGTTTGAACTTCTCATGATATAAAAACATATCAACGTAATTTCTGTCTATAGATTAAAATCAAAGTTAAAAAGAGAGTATCCACCCTACTACACAAACCACCTTTGATGTTTAGTTCCATTACAACAATGAACAACCTCCTCCTCCATTGATGTTTCAAAGCTACAGATACCTCCTCAAGGCATTAAAAGGCACTCATCCAATTAAGACTATGTATGCACTAATGGAGTTCAGTTTGCAATTATCCCTATGGACTGAAAGATTTTGCCGCCATCCGATGCACAGCTAATGTTGGAAGCAAATCACACAAAAATTTTCTAAGCCTTCTCTCCTCTTCAGAAACTACACCAATTTCTCGCGAATTCACCAATAATCGCTGCACGAGCAAATCCCATTCTCAAAATGGTGAAATCGATTCGTGTCCCTCACCAAAATTTCTCTCTCCGTAACCTTGGAGATGAACTTTATAGCAACATGACAATCCTCACACACACGGAGATTCTTCGTAACCCTAATCGGCGTTGTGGGCCCGGTGTTGATAATCGCAAACACAATTGCCAGCTTCTCACTGTGAACCACCAAGTGATTCTCTTTCTCCTCCTCCTCGACATCATGCAGCGCACCATCTGTCTTCGGAACATAACCCATTTCCTTAATTTTCCCCAATAATACATCCAATTCAGAATAAATCTCCACAGTTTGCTCATGCGATCTATCGCCTGCGAGAAAAGTATGGACTTTGTTATCAAGCTCGACATTGCTGACCCCAGGAATTTTCTTGATTCCTCTTTCTCTCATAAGCAAGCGGATAAAATCAACATCCTTCCACCTCCCAGCCTTTGCATAAATATTCGATAAAAGGACGTAATAACCGGATTTCTGCGGAGCCAATTCGAAAAGACGGTCGGCCGCTATAACACCAACATCCAATTTGTTATAAACATGGCAAGCGCTCAGTAGAGCACCCCAAACCCTGTCATTCGGCTCCAACGGCATTTTCTTGATATGATCATAGGCCTCGTCAACCTGGCCCGCCCGCCCAAGTAGGTCGACCATACAAGTATAATGTTCTAACCTAGGAATAACATTAAATACATCCGTCATTAGTTTATAATACTTGCGCCCTTCTTCTAACAATCCCGCATGGCTGCATGCCGAGAGAACTGAGACAAACGCTATGGAATCCGGGACGATACCTAAATTTTGCATTTTGGAAAATAATTTGATTGCTTCTTCACCTTTTCCGCTCCTACCATAGGCGGACATCAACGAGGTCCACGAGATGACATCCTTGACACGCATTTCATCAAACACTTTTCTCGCATCATGTAAGGATCCGCACTTGGCATACATGTCGATCAAAGCATTTTCCACGGATAAATTAGGCCGAAGCCTTCTAATATCGACATATTTGTGAATACTCTTTCCCAAAGACACGGCACAAAGATCGCCACAGGCTGGAAGAACGCTAGCAAATGTAATCGAATCGGGCTCCAGCCTGCTGGCCTCCATTCGCAAATAAAGCTCGACTGCCTCGCCCGACATGGAATTGTTTGCGTACACAGCAATCATCACGTTCCAGGCCACCAATTCCTCCTTAGCCATATCCGAGAAAATCTTTTCCACAAAATTGACATTCTCTGTAGTTGTGTTCGTCACAGCTGGCGAGAGACTGGCCATCGTGCCCGGGTCGGGCTTCAAGCCCAACGACACCATTTCCTTACACACCTCTAAAGCTTTGTCAAAAAGTCCAGTCTGTGCATAGCCCGCCACCATTGAATTCCAAGAGACGATGTCCTTAAGGGGCATTTCGTCAAACACCCTTCGCGCACAAACCAAATCCCCACATTTTCCGTACATTGCGATCAGCCCGTTCCCAGTAAACAGAGTCAAATCGAGACCGTTCTTTACAGCAGTGCAATGAATTTGGACACCAAATTTTAAATTTTCCATTGACGAGCCAGCTTTGAGAAGGCAGGGCAAGGTGTAGTGATCAGGGGTAACGCCGGAGGCTAGCGTGCTCTTATAAATCAGAATTGCATCGCCGTAAAAGTGATTGTTGACGTAGCTTCTGATCATGACATTGCATATGACGTTGTTTCGCTCGGGAATTTCTTCGAACACCCTGCGGGTCATATCGGGCCGGCCGCGGGATGAATAAGCCCGCATTAGTTTGATGGCGAGGGATGTGTCCGAGTGGAAATCGGGATCGCAGATGATCCTCGAGTGGAGCTTTTTGAGGGTTTGGATATCTGGGATCTTATCCAGTGCCTGGATGATGAGAGCCTCAATGTTTTGAGCTGCGGTTAAAATGTGGCGGGAAAGCTTGGCCGAGCCTTTAATGGTGCTTTTCATGGATTCAAATCTGTGCTGAAAAAATACATCAGCACATGATATTTTTCATTTTTATTTTCTATTTGTAGTTATATCATTCTCCAACCGTTATTTTTATTTATTTATTTTTTTTTTTTATGAAGGAAAAAATAAGATGAAAATGTTTTCTCATTCATGTATACATTTTTTCAACTATTTTTTTTATACAGTTTTTCTTTTAAGAAAACATTATTTATTCAATCTCGAATTTTCAAATTCGATCTTCTCGATCCCAATTTAAAAATAAGTAGTTACACATTATTAATACATTTTTTTGTGAATCATTACTATACATTTTTTAATACAAAATATTATTGATTACTCACATATTTCTAACGATTTAATCAATAATTCAAAATTAATCATTTTTACATTATATTTTAATTAGTCTTAATTATTATATTCTATTTTATGTCAATTACAATCTAATATATTCCATTTTCAATCCAAATTATTTTTCCACATTTTCCATTTATTTTATCCGTCAGATATAAATTTCTTCCAATATATATAAGAGTGGATACATTAAGTCCCTTTCTTATAATAGGGATAGGGATATGTGTAGCAATTGATTTATGTAGATCAAAGATAAATCAATTAAGAATCATTATTTCTAGGTTTAAAACTAACTTCAAGAATTTAGGGGAAAAAATTTTGACCAACCTGAACTTTCGCGCTTTTTTGGCTTTGCAACCCAATCTTTTAATTTTTATAAAATGCAACCCAACTATACGATATTGATACTGTGCAACCTCAGCCACCGAAATTGGTCGGAAAGCTCCTTAAGCGGCGGAGCTGGCAACTTTTGTAAGGGTAAAATTGTAATCTTACTTTATATTTCGGTCTATAAATATAACATTCTCCTTCTGAATCCGAAAATCGAATTTTTTCCCCAATTCGCAAGAACCCTAACCCTAATTTTTTCCCCAAAATTTCCCCAATTTTCCCCAGAAAGTGAAACATCAAAACCCTAAATTGAAAACATAAATTAAGTGCAACAAACTTACCGTAATTTGGAACGAATCTATTAGTTTAGGTAGTCGTGCGTTGCCCACGAATTTTCCAAACCACTTCACCAAATCATCAAAGATTTAGGGTTGTGAAATGGGGGAAATTGCCAATTTGGGGAACTCTGTATTTGAGATTGAAGAAATGGAGAGAAATGGTATTTTAATTGTTTTTTATGATGTAAGATTATAATTTTGCCCTCAAGCTCTGCCGTGTCGGTGGCTGAGGTTGCACAGTGTCAATATCGCATAGTTGGGGTTGTATTTTATAAAAATTAAAAGATTAGGTTGCAAAGCCAAAAAAGCGCGAAAGTTCAGGTTGGTCAAAATTTTTTTCCCAAGAATTTAATCCCAGAGATATGGGGAAAAGGAGATCTATTGAATTTAAACTTCGAAGCATTTCCACCAAAACGTCGATCGACTTCATCGGCTAATTGCGGGCGAAGCATCTCCACCAAAATGTCGATCAAATTCATCGTCTAATTGGTGGGGCTCTTTATTTAAATGGGATAGTCAAGGGCCATATTTATTTAAATGAACCTTTCAACAATTTTTTTTTTTATTTTATTTAAGTAACCTATTCATTAAATAAAGTTAAATAAATAATTGAAATACCTAAAATATCCTTAGATGATAAATGACTATAATACCCTTCTTCTATTTTGTGTTACCAATTTTGTAATTAAAAAAAACGAGAAGAATTATGATCGATCTTTCCACTGTCTCCGCTCATCTCTCTCGCTCGCTTGCTCCTCTCTCTCGCTCCATCCTCTCTTCTCTTGAAAAGGTGAGAACAAAATATGAGCATTACACATAAATTTTAGATTCCATATTGCAAAAGAAATGTGGTGATGGTGGAAGACCAACAATTGAAGCATGTTAGGGTTTGTTGTTATTTTAGAGATAAAGCATTTTGGTTCATATTTTATGATTGATAAACATGTTGGTTTCATATATAACATGTTGGCAGTCGTCGCACTATTCTCTGTACCAATATCTCTTCGACATGTGTCCTCTGCACATGGGTAAAATATTCCCCCTTGATTCCCCTGACGTCACTCTGATAATTCCGTTGGAGACTCTTGTAGTTGACCTTATAAGTCAATCTCCCAAGTTCTACCTCCCATATTGGGTGCTCGGCCATCAGGCTGCCCCCAACCCTTGTATCAACCATCTGGACAACTCTCTGCTTGATCTCGTCGCATTTCGACCATACTTTCTCTGCCCTCTAGGCTGCTCTACGTACTAAGATCTTCATCCTCTCGATCCTGGGGTTATCCAACTGTGGTCATATTCCCCCATATCCTTTCGATCGGCTTTGTCTCATCTATGTTCGGCTTTGTTCGACTCACTCGTTGGATTGGTTTACTCGTTGAGGTATAATATCCCATATCACATCGGTTGATATCGGTTAACCAAAGTGCTTTTGTTCCTAACCGACTCATCACGGATAACACGATCTTGGCTTTTGAGCTACTTCATTCAATGTCTAAGAAACATTAGGGGAATGCTCACTCGATGGCTCTTAAACTTGATATGAGTAAAGCATACGATCGTGTGGAGTGGGATTTTGTCGATGCAATGCTAAATAAGAAAGGTTTTCCTGCTTGTTTTTTATTGTTAATTCGAAATTGTATCTCGACTGTTAAATTTTTATTCAAAATAAATGGCCAGATTGTGGGGAAAGTAACACCTTCTCGCGGCTTATGTCATGGTTGCTCTCTATCGCCGTACTTGTTTATCCTCTGTGCAGAGGGCCTCTCGGCAACTTTGAAAATAGTAGAAGCGGACGAAATTTTGAAGGGGTTGAAATGTAGCAGGAACGAACCGTCAATATCTCATCTCTTGTTCCCAGATGATTCTATCATTTTCTCAAAGGCATCTTCATCTGAGGCAAATTAAATTGTCAACATTCTAAATCATTATGAACGAGCATCTGGTCAACAGATAAAAATAGAGAAAATGGCAATATCTTTCAGCCCAAATACACCTCAAGTCCTTTGCCAGGTAATTTGGTCGATCTTTAGAATTCAATCACTCGCACCTATTGGAACATATCTGGGGTTACCTTCGATGATTGGTAGAGAAAAAAAAATTAACTTTTTGCGTTGATTCGAGAAAAGATTTGGAAGCTTCATACCTAGAGTCGTAAATTTGTTCTTTTCAGCGGGCCATGGAATTCTGAATAAAGTTGTAGTGCAATCTATCCCTATATTTATCTTTTGAGTCAGTTCATTTTACCGAAAGCAATTTGTAATCTAATCAAACAAATTGTTGCTCAATTTTGGTGGGGATCCCGTAATGGCAAACAGAAATTATCATAGGTAAAGTGGAGCAAAATGACTATGTCCAAACAGGAGGGTGGGATGGGTTTTCAAGACTTTATATTGTTTAATCAAGCGATGCTGGGAAAATAGGCGTGGCAGGTACTTTCTTCCCCTGACTCACTTGTGGCCAAAGTTCATAATGATAAGTATTTTCCTTCAAGTCATTTCCTCGAGGCCAGGACTGGGACGATATCTTCTTTCATTTGGAAAAGCATTTTGTGGGGGCTTGAGGCATTGCTAGCAGGTTTGAGATGGAGAGTGGGAGACGGGGCGTTAATAAATATATACTCTGATCCATGGATTTTCCATTTTCAATGCTTTAAGCCCTTCTCTCAACATGTACTTGGTATTGAGCGAGTAAAAGATCTCATTGGGGTGAGTGGAGCTTGGAATGAGAACCTGATTATTGGTATTTCTACCAGTCGATGCACAAAAGATCTTGTCTATTCCTTTGAGCAATAATCGTACTTCGCATCGACCTATTTAGCACTATTCTAAAAGTGGGTCATACATTGTAAAGAGTGCCTATCGTGCTCTTAAAGCCCTATCAGTGGATCCTCAAGAATCCAGTTCTCATAGATCATCTCGATGGTAGAAAGATTTATGGAAAATGAGTGTCATACCAAAAATTAAAATATTTATGTGGAGACTGTGCCACTTGGCTTTCCCTTCCTCCGAAAATTTGACTCGTAGATCTATTTGCGTGGAAGCAAAATGTGCTAGATGTGGAGCCTAGGGATAAATGTTCATGTGTTTTTTGAATGTGGATGGGTTAAAAGATTGTGGAAAATAGTCGGTGGATGGGATATGTTGTCTAGTTTGCTAGGTAAAAGCTTCACGTCTATCTCTTGTGAAATTCTAGATGGAGACTGAGGAAACGAAATATCAAATTTTACATTTATATGTGGCTTATTTGGAATGAGCGGAACCGCATTCAACATGGCATATCGGCGAGGAGTGCGGAACAAATCAGGGTTATCAGAAACGTATGGCTGGAAGAGATAAACGCAGTGCCTCATTTCTCATCCAGTATTGAACGAATAATCAACCTGACATCGATACAATCTTGGAGTGGCCCAGGTACGTGTGAAAATGGGTTTTCTATTATTTGTGATGCTACTGTGAATGATGTATCGATTGGCTTTGGTGGTTGGATCTGTGATTCGGAAGGTCTGTATTGGGCTGCATTTGCCTCTCAACAATCGAGATCCTTTTCCCAGAAACAGCCGAAGCATTGTCTTTCCGATTTGGACGTCGATTTGCATTGGATTCAGGCTTTATGCTCCAAACCGCTAAAACTGACGCTGCTTCTATCATTTTTGGTATCCCAGACCAACATTCTAATGATCCATTGCACAATGTCTTCTCTGATATAGTTGATCTGTTGAGGTTGTTGAATTGTAGAATTTGTATTCATCTTAGTCGTTACACAATGTTATAGCTCATAATTTAACTAAATGGGATATTCGATCGACAGGATCCTTCGGTGGAAGGTTTGTCTCCTGTTTTTCTAGCTCCTTTCTTTCAAACTATATCGTTGAGCGATTGATTTAATGATATCATGTTATTATTCAAAAAATAAAAAAAAAAAAAAATTTAAATGTTGTACTTAACTTGCAATTGAAGAAAATGTTGTATTTTATAATTT